ATTAACAGTAATACTATCTTTATTATATCTTATATACTCTTTAGGGAAGTATAATAATAGGATGATGACTTTAAATAGTCTTTATTTATTTAGTAACCAAGCCTAAGACTACTTATACTTAAGTGAAAAACCATATATACCCATTTATGTGTATTTTACTTAGTTAACCCCATTTTGTTGGTCCCATCCCTTCACATTTTATCGTTCTATCCAGTGTGTATTATTAAACTTAAAGAAATTTTTTCAAATTCTACAGCTTTTTCAGCCTATTGATGTATATGAGTTCCTAAAATTCAGCTCGATTCCCGATTTTCTTTATCCAAAAACCTTTGAGACAAAACCCCTTATCTCGGTCATGTGTTCCGCTGATTTCAGTGTATGCGAGAAATCTATATAAAGCAGTTTAAATCCGTTAATCTATAGACATTTTTTAATTCAAAATTTGTTTAGACTCCAGATACATACGGGCGAATATAGCATGAGATGCAGTTCACCGGTATTCTAACTCAATTCATTTGAATAAATAGTCGCCGTGTTATTATACCTTATTTTATATAATCCATCATTAAGACTTAAAATTATTAAGCCAAAAAATTAAAAATAAATTAATAATAATTAAGTCATATAAGATAGACATTAGGCTTTAATTTGTGAATGGTCAAGATCTAAAGGAGATACACTTGTGCCTCGATAGTTCACTTTTAGCCTAATCTAATTATTAATTTTAGGAAAATCATGAGTAATTAAGTATTTAAGACACGATTTGCGTAATAGTTGCCTTTTTAGCAGTCTCTGTAAAAACAACTTCGGCACTTTCTTAAGGGTTTTATGACTATAACTATGGGGTCCTTAGATATCCTAACAGCTTGTCAAAGAACAAAGACTCAAATTCAAAAAAACATAATCAAGCGCATTTTTAGAAGCTTAAATTTGCTGAACTGTGTCAATAACTACCTCTAAAAGTAGGGGGAATGTAATAAACCCTCCTAAATAATTTAAGGAAAGGCAAAAATTTAGCAATGGATTGGTTAAATTGAAAGTTATAACTTTGCAAAGTCGGAATAAGACTCTTCTAAGATAAAAAGGTTCGGGTTGTTAAATATATCTGTAAAATCTATTGCTTACAATATTTCCCATATGCATGAACTGTATCTACTTCAGCAGAGGCATACTTAGCGTGGCTGTAAAAATCTATTCTTTTCTTGGAGAATGTATGATGTGAATGTGCCTGCACATGGTTAACTTTCAATGTCAAACTATGGGGAAGTCACTCAAAAACAAAATGCACAATCATTTTTTCATATACTTGGGTCATCTAAGATGTGGACCATAATCGTTCAAACTTCATTCGGTCTATCATTATTCAGAAGCATTAATTTGTTTCCAACGCTGACAATAATAACAAACAATCTATCAAATTATTAGTAAACTTTCAAAATGTATCGATATATTAAATAAGTTAATCACCTCAGTGATTTATAACCAGTTAGCAGGAATTATTCTAACGGTTTCGATAATACGAAAATTAGATAGAGATTAATTACACTTGCTTGTGCTACTTTATTATTTCAGACTTGTAAAAATAAATGCATTTATGCTTATGCTAAAACAAACTTTTACAAAGTTTCATCAACTACTTTTACTTCTTAAATTCAAGGAGCCGATTTTTGAATATATTTTCCCTCTAATCTCCAGGCCGATGTTATCATTCGGCTTTGAAGATTCCTCTTCTATGCATTTTTCAACATCCTATAGGTGCTTTTCTGTTTCGCTTTTTCCAGGAAATGCCCGAGAAGATCTTGAAAATGGAGGGAAAAGTATTTTGTTATTACTTATATTACTTTCAGTTATTATGCCACCTTCAGCACTTGAGATCCTCAGTAATTTCGTCATGTGCTTTTATGTATAGCCCGCCTCAATATTCAATATCCAATGATATTTAAATTGACAAATAAACAGGCTTTTAGGTCATCGCATTGTGGTGTTCTTGAATTTGTTGCCGACGAAGGCAATATATATGTGCCCTACTGGGTAAATGGTATTTTACTATGTTCATTATCATAGATGCTCAGGAATTTGCTCTTAGAAGAAGGTGATCGTGTCTTTGTAACAAACACCGCTTTGCCGGTCGCAACCTTTGCAAAGTTTCAGCCACAGACAACTGATTTTCTTGACATTACCAATCCTAAAGCTGTGTAATATTTCTTTTCATTATTTGTAGTCTTGAGAGCGCACTCAGAAGCTTTGCGTGCCTAACAAAGGGAGATATCGTAGCGCTACAGTACAATCAAAAGATTTATGAGCTCAAGGTGTTAGAAACTAAACCAGAAGATGCGGTTACTATAATTGAATGTGATATGCATGTAATTACTATGATAACTTCTATGATTTAAGGTCGAATTTGAGGCACCCTTGGGTTACCAAGATCCTTCCAAAAACTCAGCAGAAAATAGATATTGCGAGGATTCCAAGGTCACTTATATTACCTTGTATTTGATAGCTTGACTATGGGCCTTACTCGTTAATTCTCTTCACATATGCTATTTATTCTAAAATCTAATGGCTCATATCTCTTCATTTGTAGCAGGAAGATGATGCTATTGAAGTACCAATCCGTGCTCAAGGCTTTCAGGTATTTCTTCATTTGCTATACTCTTTTTATTACTTAAATCATTCAACGCAAAGTTTCTTTTATTAGATGTTTCTCCTCAAGTATAGATACCTCATTATCCAGATCTTATTTCACCGCTTTTATAAAAAAACCTCCCAAATATAATGATGGCCTTCTCTTCTTAGGCCATATGTATAATGTTTGATGTCGATTAATCGTAAGTCATTCCTTCCCTCCTATTGTACTTTTATGAATTCACTTCAGACCTTATATTATTTATTTGGTCATTATTATTATTATTATTGTTAACTCGTTAATCTATTACTTAATTCCTTAAAGTTTATATTATTTTTTGTTTGTGATATTTTCTTCATGCCTCCTTAGCCAGGGCTGTCTAGCTCGTTCAATTATATTTCGATTATTTATTTTAGACGAATAATATTTCCCGTTTAATGTATATGCTTATTAACTGTTTCCAAGTTGATTCCTTATTCGCACGCCAATTTGGCGCTAAGTAACAAACAATGTAATTTTTTGCTTTTGAATAATCTGCTAGTATTTCATTATTTAATCTATTCTATGTAGCTTGACTTGAGGGTTTTTGACAACATTTGTTAGCATTAGTGCAAATTTGATACTTTCTTGCAAGTTTTATCCTTCTAAAAACACTGGCATTCCCATATTCATACATTAATATTTAATGCTATCTTGGATCACATGAGGTCTCTAGGAGTGATAGTAGTATTTGTAATTGAATTTCCTACACTAAAATTAGTATAGGGCCTCGCGATGAGGTCGAACTTATAATTGCTTTCCGAGAGGCATTCATCTCAATTGGACTGCAGCCAGAAGACCTTATCTAGCTCATCAATATTCGTATTGGGCTTCAAAACTGGAATGTACATACCAGGTGGCAGCGTCATTCAGCTACACACAGTAATCTATAGAGTAAATTTGCTTAAAGGCAAACTTGACCCCTAATTTACGAGACTGGTGTCGGTATAGCTAATTTTTATATGTGCGAAGGAAAGGTGGGTTTAGAGGAATCTCTTGTTTCATACTTGTTGAGCTTACTTCCCTTTCGAGTGAAAGTGTTTGGTGAAGAGATTCGAAGGTCGATTCCACCAGAAGACGACGGCGAATTCCTTTTGATCAGCTGTCGATTAACTTTATTGGAATATTCATGGTCACGCTGTTTCAGAGTTTTCTTGACTCGTTAGTTTGAATTTGGTTGCGACGATGGCACCTTGCTCTTATTATGTTCGTCCAATGACGGACCTTTTCATCGGAATCGAAGGAGATTACCTCGGAAACAGCGTCAGCACGAATGTTCCAGTCAAGCCAACCGACAGCTGGTCAAGAGGAATCCGCTGTCGTCTTCTGGTGGAATCGACATTCAAATACTTTCACTCGAATGGAAGTAAGCTCAACAATAACTTTTATATGTCATTACAATAGACTACGCTAATATGCCTTAACTACGGACTCAAATTAATTTGAATGAAATTATATGATGTGCAACCCTCTATTCACTTAGCTATAGAGAACTCACCTTAAGCCACATAGAGTGACTCGACTTATGAAAGATCTCATTCTTTAACTGAGGTATATTTAGCTTTTTGAATATTGTGACATGACTCTCCATTTCGAATGGAAAGTTGGTTGGAAAG